GATTATTTAGAAATTGTTCTAGCAAAGAATATTCAGGAACCAGCCTTTTCGACAGTATTCTGGGGAAAACAGGCTAGAGGAGGTAATTTAGGAATTATTCAAAGCGCTGATCGCCAGGTACGTATGGTATTTTAGGGCAAGCTAGCAAAGATCCCTAGATATTTAAGCATCTGGACTCCTTAATAATTAACAAGCCAAATTATCCTAGGTAAGCTAGCAGAGTCCATTAGCCCAAGCCGGCCCGGTACCATAAGCTAGTCGTTAATCCCCCTCTCACCTCCTCGTTGACACCATTTTGTGACGTTTTTGACACGAGCCAAGGGGGTAACGTGTCAATTAGGGTCTCTGGATCTCTATAAGGAGGCTAGAAGAGGCATGAGAACATGCGATTAGACTATATGCCCTCAAGGTATGTTGCGCAATACATAAGAGGGTAATGGTGAAAAGGGGAGGGGTGGTATGACAGGAATTAGGAGCAACCGGATGGAGCGGAATTTTAAAAAGCAAGTCCATAACAACACGTTCTGAAAGCAGGTGAAATCTTCTTGAAAAACACGTATTTTTCTGGTTACTGTAACTGGCAATAAAGCGCACTGTTAGTGTGACTTCACGACTTTTTAGATAAACCCTATTTTCCGATGGATTACGGTGGGACGTATTTCATAATTTGGCATAGCGGCAAAAAATAAATATTTTTGGTTCTAGACATCATGGGAACGCGTATTTTAATGCACCCACAGTACGAAATGCGTCATTTTTGCGCGTAGGACAATACGGAAGCTGACTTTTTGTAAAAACTACCGTAAGAAAGAAAGGGTTTTGGCGAATTACAGTAATGTAACTTAGAAAACTGTGCAAAATGACAATACATCAAAGTTACGATAACCAGCTAAGTTTGGGTGTTTCAAAAAGCGCACAATAATTCTCGTCACGTAAGATTACAGTAGTTGTTTCTCGCCCATTATTCGCAAAAACCCGCAAAAAATACAATAATTCTCATTACGGGGTGATTAAATCCATTTCCTAGAACATTATTGGGCGCAATGAGGGCAAAAACGTACAATAAGCGATCGTAGCGCAGGCAATCGGTGGGTCATATGGTGTGTACTGGCGGGAGAGCTTTTGATAGGGGTGGGAGGGCCAAGTGGGCCCTCTTTAGGACCCTTTTCTGGGCCCTTGCGGGTCCTCCTTTTGGCCGACAACACCCTTTGTCTTCAATAGGGGATGGTGTGAGGATGAGGACATGGGAATATTCGACAGATTGTCGCGTCCATAAGCCATCCATATCCATATTCCAGTCTTGCGGCACAAGCAACGCGGCTGTAAATTGTAGCGATACGGAGTACCGTGAGAGCGGAGTGTTTCGTAGTGCGGAATGTGGCGTACAGGAATGGATTTTATAATCTAACCGCGCGAAGTCTCGAATTTCTTGGCGATGCATTCCCAGAAAAACAGTGGAAATTTCAGAAAAAACGATTTTGATGATGAAAAAACGGGAATGTAGTCACATCGATTTCCGTACGACCGGAGCTTGTGTAATACGTAATTTAGCGCAACGACGTACTTAAATTGATTTGCTGCGAGGTAGAAAGGCGCCAAAACCGAAATAAATAGCCTTGCTGATAGAACCATCCGGAAACTACAGCATTCGTAGTAAAATTCGTGGTTTTCTATGTTAGGTTTTTAGCAGAGCACCGTTAAAATAATTTTTATGATGTTCAGGCTATAGATTTTTGCGTTTCATAATTCTCCTAAATTTTTGATTAAAAAATTTGAGAAGCTGCAACAAAAACTGTGTCGGATTTAACAATCAGAAATAGACGGGAGAAAACAAGAAAAAAATTTTCAGCAAGGTACGGTAAAGCCCGGGGGTTGTCAAAATTGTTAAAACTAATTTTGCAATGGGTTTCCCAGCCTTCCGAATCCGCCTACACCCAAAAATCCATCCCATTAGCCTCAAGCGCTAAATGAAAATATGCAAAATCAGCCTCAAAATTTGTTATCCGATCCGTTTGACCCCTATTTAAGAGCGAACCGTATAAGAGAGATCGTATGCAATAAATTAGCGGAAAGTTTATGATGATCCCGACTCGGCTAGGGGGTATCAAATTAAATATAGGGGCCAGAAGAGCCATAGGGAGGCCAATGGGGCCAGGCAGCCTGAAATTCTATTCTTTTCCCTATATTTCTCTCTATCTTTCGTTCTTTCTCTCTCTCTCGCCTGCAGAAAGTTATTCAACGGGCTGTCACTTGTCAAAAATCGGGCAGGGTGGCCCCAGGGGTATCCGTCGCTTCCCGGACACCCAGCCAGCTCTTGTCCTTCTGGGGGACTGGACATAAGGAATTTCAGTGAAGCTGGAGACTTGTAGTCTAAGGAATTTGGCAGAACGTTATTTTAATAAGAACAATACAACAAAGAGCAGCGACCGATCGAACAAATTCTTGCGAGATCGATACTACTACACAGAACGCCCGCAAAATTACTTGTATGTAGAGTCTGGAAAATTTCAAAAATTGCAAATTTTACGTCGTTTTGCTTTGGTTTTGGCCTTAATCTTCCAAAAAAATGATAAATGGACTTTTGTAAGCCAGTATCTTAAAAAACAACACAATATAACTAAATTGTTCGTGAAAAGTATAGTAGCGAAAAATGCTAGAGAACACAGAAGAGTACGGTAGCGAAAATGCTATAGAAAATCAGAAATTATAACAGATTCAGAATTACCGTACCCCAAGGCATAGGGCCCGCACCATAGGGCCCATTGTGTCCAAGCCTTGGGACCCAAAAACAAATTGTTTACCCCGAGGGTGTTACCCCAGCCATCGGCCGATAATTCGCGGTTTCTAAAGGATGGGGGAGGGGATTTGTACGGCTGTGGTTATGGAAGAGAGAAAGAGAGGGAGAGAGAGAGAGAGAAAAAGAGAGAGAGCAGAGGGAGGGCATTGTGGAAATGGGATGGGCAAGCTGGGCCCTTTACGAGTACTACTAGAAGATACTATCGACACAGCGGGAAACCTGTGACCGCTCGATTAGGGAGGAGAGGGCTATTGAAGACAATCAGGCGAGAGAGAGAGAGAGAGAGAGAGAGAGAGAGGATTAGCACAGAGGTGCTAACAATGTCAATGAGTTGTCGTAAGCAGTCTAAGCCACCTTGCCCATGTCTTAAGCCGGGGTATTTGCGACAAGGATTTCTGCTAGTTTAAGCATTGCAATATATAAAGTTTCCATATTTTGTGAGAAACATCAAATTATGCAAGAAACCTAAAAAATCGTCTCTAGACTGCAATTGACAAGACTCGGTAATTCGCGAGAATCCCCAAGAATCTCACAAGGCTGGCATTTTCTGGTCTACTGTAATGTCTCGTACACTAAATTAAACTAACTAAACTAAATTCCTAAATAAACCCTGCTAACCTGCCAACTAAAGAAATTTTATGGTTGCAAGAAAAATTCTCAATACTCTCTGCTGGCTTGCTCGGATCCCAGATTTCAAAAAATCCTAATTGGGTTCTGCCAGCATCTCTCAAAGCAAATTTCCAAGACTCCTCAAAATGCTGCAACGTTAAATTTTAAAATTTTAACGGATGAAAACCCAAATTTCAACTTGAAAATCGGTACGGCTACGAACGATCCAAAATACGCTTTCGCATTGGGGCTACGGTACCGTAATTAGAATGCGGGCGGACAGCTAGGGGCAAGCTGGGAGTGAGGCTGTGTCAAAAGGATGCGTCTGGAAACTGTCCCCATTCACACCCTGACCATCCAATCCCATTATTCTACCCCAACCTAGCCGGCTGGTCGTCTTGGACTGGGCTAACAGGGAGAAGGCTGCCCTGAAAAGGCTGTGATTTGAAAAGGATCGTTTAGCGGTAAGGGGGCACAGTTTAGGGGTGAAGACATACAACTTCTCACCTTCCTGGAAGGGCCAGCCACATGCATATTCATTTCGCGGACCTTCTTCTTCTCCTGCTCACCTCAATGCAGCCAGCCAACCTCCCTGCCCCATTCGACCGGGTTGTAACCGCAGCGGGAGATTGACGCCGACAGACAGACAGACACATGGACGAGCAGATGAGCACCAATTCAGGGTTTGATGCATTTACCTTAAAACAGTTTGAATACGTATCTAATCGTAAGCTACATAGGTGTGGAAAAATGAGGTCAAAATAATAAGCAAGTCCCCAAAAAGCTAACTCAAAGTAAAAAATACTTTCATGGAATCAATTTGTGACATGTAATCGTGCTCTCTCTCTGTCTCTCTCTCGCTCTTTCGTTCTCTCTCACTGTCTTTCTCTCGCTCTCTCTCAGCCCCTCGTGCTGACTCAGCGCTCTCTCACTCACTCGATCTCTCTCTCTCTCTTTGTCTCTCTCTCTCTCCCTCTCTCTCTCTCTCTCTCTTTCTCTCTCTCTCCCTCTCTCTGTTTTCTCTCGCTCTGTTTCACCCACTCTCCCTCGCTCTGTCTCCGCAGCCTGTTTCTCTCTCATTTTCTCTCCATCTCTCTCTCTCTTTTTCTCTCTGTCTCTCTCCCCCTCTCTCTCTCTCTCTCTCTCTCTCTCTCTCTCTCCCCCTCTCACCTTTACATTACAGGTGGATTTACATATTGCTCAGTTTGTCAGCAGGCAGGTGCATATGCATCCGTTTATGGATAATTGAGGACAGATGGGTTGATCCCCCTGCTCAACCTGTTCACACCCAATCTACCCAGATCCGCAGGGGTCAGATTCCTGGCCGGCGGAAGGAAACACAAACTTAACCCTGAAAATAGGAATAGAAAATAGTTTCGGAAAGTTTCTCTTTCTTTGTTCTTTTTCGTCTTCCGGTTCTTCCGGAACAAGGCATCAAACGTACACATTTCGGCGGAAAATTGGCATGTTGCCTGTAGTGTGCCCGTGTGGAAATTGTGGAGTGTGAAATTTAAGTGGCCGTGTTCCAAATGGAGACCTAAACTGAAAGAAGCCGTTTTGCCTCGATTTTCCTGCTAACTTTTATCTTTAACTGATGGCAGATGAAGAATCACTGCCCGTAGAGGTTCTTAGAAGCGACGATTATCTGGCAGGCGGCATATTATTCATTGTAAGAATTTTAGATTAATTCTAACAATTCTAAAACCAAGAAGCCTTACGAAAATGTCCCCATTACAAATTTGTTTTGTTCGTAAAATTCCGATTATGAAATTCCAAAAGAATTCTATAACGACGATTTTCGTTTGTAAACGATAAAACTATCTACGTTTTAGATAGCCTTCCTGAACGTGTTCATCAACTTTCGAAATTTGGTCTTTTATCGCTCCAGTGCATTAACAATTTCCTATTTTATCAGAGCTCGTGCTATCTGCAATTTTTCGGTAGCTATTGTTTATATCGTTTACGTCATCCCGGTTATATTGAGGTATGAAATAGCTGTAAAAACATTTATTTAATTAAAACAACGGCAAAATAAACAACCAAATTCGTTTCTAGAGGTTCCGCTAACGAATATGGCCGTGTGGTGGACATTGTCGCAGCGTACTCGGGTAGCCTCGCGTACACCTATATCCTGGTGCTCGAGCCGAGCGTCGCAGCAAATCGTCTTGTCGCCATTTCACGTCCCGGCATTTTAGTTAGTTAGTTAGTTAGTTTCGAAAACTGCCTTGTTTTAATTGACAATTCAGCAGTTAATTTCGGCCATTGAAAGCGAAGAATCTAAGCCAATCAATGCCTTTACAGCGCTGGCTCGTCGTTGCTTTAATTGGAGCGACATTGACGCTATCCCCAGATGCCACTCGCCCATCATGCCTCTACCAGTATGATTATGAATGGCTGGCCTGGGGATTTCCATTAAATGAATGTGGTGCTACCTCATCTTTTTATTCCTTTTTGTTACCTGCCTATATCTACAATGCCATAACTTTTTCGCTGAACACAGCCACTTTCCTGCAAATTGGCTGGTATCGCTATATTACTGTAGGTTATTATAGGATATCTTACTATGAAAGATTATAGAAAAACGAGACAGCCTTCAGAAAAAGTCGCGTGCAAGGCCGATTTTTTGTGCAGGTGGGCGTCTAAACACATCTTTAATTCCATTTAATTTTACGTTTTTAAAAATTATTTTTTCTGACTTTTGGAAATTTGTTAAGCCAATAATCACAATTAAAAATAATGATTTAATTATTGATTTTCATACCGATTACTACTTGATTTTCAGTCGACCATCCAATTCGTCGTCTTCTTCATCGATGCCGTTGTCAATACCTCGCTAGAAGTGCCAGAGAGCCGAATGTTAAATTTTCTATACTACAGTGTCGATTGGTTGACGCTGCATACTATTGACGGGTAGAAATAACTCGAAATTCACCGGAATCCTTCACTATTTAGCTTGATCATCTGGGCTTTCCGAATCGACGCTCCAAAAACCACGCGTCAAATCTTTGTCCATGTCAGTCACAGCGTCAGCATTTCGCCAAGAAATTAATTCTTGTATACTATTCATATATTATTAACGCTACGAGCTGCCCTGTAAATGCTCGGATTTCCACGATCCTTGCCAGTTAATAAATTGTTCCAGACAGATAGGGATTCAGAACTCTGGTCCACGGCGTGAACCATGGCGTTGATTCCTGACAAATAGCCAGATGAGACCGCAACGCGACCGCACCGCATCTTATTTTGCCCCTGTTTGGACGGGAAAACGCTTGAATTTTCAAAAATTCTGACGCTATTTCTGGAATTCTCACCGAATTTTGATCATTCTAGACTTTTTAATTGAGAAAATTGACCTGAAAATCATCGAAATCCAGAGATCGGGTGCCGTACAAGGATTACGAAATATACATAATGGCCGCGCAGTCGAAATGTCCTTTTCCGCCCAACAACATTTCGATTTTACTCAAAGTCGCAATGAAATCACTTTTCTGTATACTTCGCCAACCACCCCGGGTGGTACCACCCCTAGGGGTGGTTGGAGGGTGGGGCGGGGGGTGGTTGGGGGGTGGTCGTGGGAGGGTGGTTGGGGGGTGGTCAATGCATTAGCCACCCCACCCCACCCCTTACAAAATTTTTTCATGATCTGGCAATAAAAGCTTGTTCAAGTCAGATATGGTCCCTCAAAGACAATGTAGCCGGAAGACCAAAAAGTTTTATTACCAGATCATGAAAAAAATTTGTAAGGGGTGGGGTGGGGTGGCTAATGCATTGACCACCCCCAAACACCCCCAACCACCCCTCTGACCACCCCCCAACCACCCCCCACGACCACCCCCAACCACCCCCCAACCACCCCCGCCCCACCCCTCCAACCACCCCTAGGGGTGGTACCACCCGGGGTGGTTGGCGAAGTATACTTTTCTGGGTCTTCTCCGCTGTCGTCCTTTCGTTTTTTGGCCAGTAGGTTCAATCCACGCACCCGCGAATTGTCACTTTCAGCCCCCTTTACAGCAGGATTTCCTTTTCTGTAAGCACACCGCAAAAATGTGTGGGCAATTGGCGAAACAATACCACAAAAAGCCAAAATTAGACGCTTTTTGGGATAATTTCTGAAGGCAACCTTTACCTGAGACGCCTTCAAAATTAGTGGTTTAAGCGGCCTATAGCTCACCGAAGATTGGCAGCTGAAAAGGGGAAATCATAGCACCTCCTCGAAACCAGAGTGTTCTTAGTGTTTCCAGTCTCATTTTCCCCAATTTATTGGGTTTTGTATGGATGATGTCGGGGAGTCATCACCCGAGGTTGTCGGGATCTTTGCAACGCCATTCGACGATAGAACGTAGAACAATATATACTGAGAGTTTCAATTTGAGCCTACAATAATGTAAAATAAAAAAGTTGTAGCCAAAACCTCGGGGGGGGGGGGTGCAAAGTAAACCGTAGCCGACTTTACTTTACCCCCCCCCCCAGCCTAAAGTTCCGAAAAGTTTCTCCCTATAACTTTTTTATATTACGTTATTTTAGGCCGTAATTGAAATTCTGAGTGTATTTTTTTAATACTTTATCGAATGGCGTAGTCAAAAATCCGACAAAATAGCCGAAATGTCGAGAAATTTTCGGAACCTCCGGCGCGGTGTGGGGGGGTAAAGTAAGGTCTAGCCAAAATTTCGGTGAGGCGAGAGGACTTGTAAGCAATGTGCTTTCAGATCGGCCTTCTAAACATCGCGATCAACTTGCGATGCCTGTTCTTTTATCGCACATGTGCCCTGACGATTGCTATTTTTATCGTGGCTCGCGCCATTTGCAACCTGCTTGTAGCCTTGGTATATTTGGCATATGTCGTTCCGGTAATTCTCATGTAAGTTTTTCCGGCTTGATCGACGACTGACTTAAAAAGAGACCGGAAAGAAACGTAGCATGCATAAAGCGCGGCGTAGTTTTCCTTCACGACGCACCGCACCTCTACACGATTTCATACGGCGCGCTGCGTAAAAAGCCTAATCCGCGCAAGAAAATCTATTTCCAGCGGTTCCATCGACAAATTTGGTGTGGTTTTCGATGTATTGGCCGCGTATCTGGGTAGTCTCGCGTACACTTTTATCCTTGTACTCGAACCCATCGTCGCCACCAATCGCTTTGTCGCCATTGCTCGTCCAACGCTCTACCGGCGAATATTTGGTATCAAAAGCGCAAAGGTGAGTTTTGCGATTGCAAAATTATTTCCAGTCAGTAGACTCAACTGAGGCTCCATAAAACCAAGCGTGTAAAGGAGGCTCACGTAACGTAAACCTCTACCGTTTTCTTAATTTTAGCGCTGGCTTTTCCTGGTTCTGCTTGGCGCTATTCTAACACTTTCTCCGGATATTTTCCGTCCAGCCTGCCCCTATTATTATGATTACGAATGGCTAGCCTGGGGGTATCCGATCGATGAATGTGGCGAAACGTCCTCATTCTACTCCTTTTTACTGCCCGCTTATATCTGCAGTGCCGTCACTTTTCTGCTCAACCTGGCTACGTGTTTCCAGATCGGATGGTATCGATATGTTTCGGTGAGTTGCCGCGAAAGAATGTTCTGGCGGCAATTGAGGGTTTCAAAGTTTGGCAAGGTGCAAATTAGGAGCTATCGCACTTGCACTTTTTGTATTTTCAAGATTACGGGCTGAAAGGACAGAGGCTGTAATTATAGTGTTTTTACATGTTCTCGAATCCAATTTTGGTTCAGAAAAACGAATCCGCCTTCAAGAAGAGCCGGGTGCACCTGCGGTTTTTTGTTCAGGTAAGCTGGCTTCTTCTTAATAAACCGATACCTTCTTGAAAATCGATAATTCTAACGTATCAAAGTTAGGATTAATCAATTGAAATCAAAATTCGTTAGCTTTCAGTCATCTATCCAATTTGTTGTCTTCTTCGTCGATGCCGTTGTCAATACCTCATTAGACGTACCCGAAAGCCGAATGATTAATTTTTTATACTACAGTGTCGATTGGCTAACATTACATACTATTGATGGGTAGAGATACGCGTAAAATTAAGCTATTTTTAAAAATTTAGGTTCATCATCTGGGCCTTCCGAGTTCAGACCCCAAAACCGAGTCCCCAAGCTTTCGTTCACGTCAGCCAAAGCATCAGCATTTCGTTGAGACGATAAAATACTTATTTTAAAGTAATGACAAGCAATTATGAAACATACAGCCATAGTTTCAATTCCGCTGCTGATTATTACTATCCGTCCGCGACCACAAGTTCGAGCTGGCCGCCCCGTGGCCCATGATGGTCGAGGAAAACAGTAACTTTCGAAGAAAGGCTTTGCAAAAATGGCGATAGGACGCTACTGTAGCGATCATAACCAAGGAGTTCAGAGCTCCGTGCGTAGACATTAACACGATAACGTAGCAAGAGACCGCTAAAAATCTCGCAAGCTCTTTTTAGGTTTCTTACTTTGCAAATAGTCTCCTTGGTAATTTGCTCTAACGGCCGTCAAAATAGCGACGATCGGGATGATATAGGTAACGAATGGAATAACGGCCTGGAGGGGATAATTAAAATGATTTTAATAAAATATCCTAGCGCCTTTGAATCTTTGAGATCACAGAAAATCTTTGAAAAACATACCTGACAAAGCAGCGCGAACACGGTCCTCAAATGCCGTCCCCTCGCGACGCGGCTCATCAAAAACCCAATAGCTTTTAGGCGGTGAAAGATTTTAAAGATAACGACCCCGTTGATGACCATGAAGATGGCGGTGGCTGAATTTCGAGGGGAGAACGTTAATTGTGCCAAGAACACCTGCCAAAGTTCATCACAAACATTGTGGTGTCCCACATCGGATTCAGATCCGCGTGCAGCATCAAAAGTTTTGGGTTTATGGCCAGGATATCGGCAGCGTTGAGAACGTGCTAAAGGGATTTTTCCTCCTTGGATTTTAGTGCGGTTTGAGAACTATGGATCGACTTACATACGCTACATATGCCCTTGCGGATTCTTGAGGCACGCTAGACATCGAGTAGGTCACCATCGCCCCAACTACTTGAAGATGGAAGACCATTAGAAGCTGAACAAAATGACACAGTTATTGGCACAGTAATAGTAAGTATCATTTACCATTATCAAATTCCTAGTTCTGCGCATGGCCCAAGTGTGTTCGTAAAGAAGTAGCAAGCGATAGACGAAGCCAAGTTGGATCGACAGCTCGCAGAGGTTGATGCAAAGTAATGCAAAGACCTGTAACTAACCGCACTAACTTTAAAGCGAATTTAGGAATGACCAATGGCGCTTATGGAACGAGCGTGCAATGGAGCATTGCGTAGGCGACTGCAAAGTGAAGCATTTCGCCTTTGCAGCGTCGTGACAGCCTTAAAAAACCTACCGTACATCCAAAGATATATGCCTCACTCCGCTCCCATGAGATTTGATAGTTCCTGATCGCTATCCCACCGGTCATTGGCATAAATGAGAGCGGCTGGATCCAGAATGAAATTAGGATATCGACCAGTGAGGCCCACAACTAAACTTTTACTAATTTACAACGTTCTACCCCTCAAAACTTACCCAAATATACCCGAGAAACCATTTATACCTTCCCATATCTTTTGTAGAACGCGTGAATATACAATAACCACCCATTAAATTGATTAAAACCGAGAGAGGGAGCACGCAGTAGAATAGGGTTTGAATGGTGTGGCGGAGCTCGAACTGTAGAGTTAAATTCTTGGGAGTTTCAGTGAAGTAATAGGGGACTCCATTGAAAATAAACAGTGTCATTAGCTGCTGAAAGGAATGAAGTTGATCTACAGCTCGTGGTAACCTCTAAAACACCTGGCTAGTTAATTTTCACAAATCGCAAATGAGTACAAAAAGTGAGTACATGGTGGTTTCTGATGCTGCGGTTATGATTTTAATTTTTTACAAAGTTCATTGTGTTTGGGTCTGCGTTTTTGAGTATTGTGAATTAATTTTACAAAGTTTATTGCGTTTAAGGCGAATATTTTGGCTCGATTTCAACCAGTTCTGCTAAACAAATTCGACGTCCCGCTCACGGCTCCATGGCCCATGAGGGTCGAGGAAAACAGGAGCTTTCGCACGAAAGATTGGCAAAAATGTCGATAGGAAGCCACAGTGGCGATCATCATCAGCGAGTTCAAGGCACCATGCGACGACATCAGCACGATTACATAGCAAGAAACGACTAAAACGCATTTTTTAGGCTTTTACTGGCTGCTAGGATCCACAAAAGTTACCTTGAAAATAGTCGGCCTGATAGTTGGCCAGCATGGCAGCCATAATAACAACGATCGGGATTATATAAGTTGTTAGAGGGGTTATGGCCTAAAAGGGTTAGCGATTACGCAATTTAAGCCGACACAAGAGGTGTAGCGTTTTACTTGCGTGGAAGCCCGATAGCCTTCTTACCTCCTTTAATAAAGGATCACACGGTAATTCACCTGGCATATCAATGCTATCGCCGTTTTGAGATGCCTTCGCCTTGTCGCGTGGCTCATCAAGTTGCCGATAGCTTTTAGTCGTCGAAATATTTGAAATATCACTGCTGTATTGATGGATAGAAAAACGACGGTGGCTAAATTCGAGTGGCTTTATTCTTTGAAAGCCAGCCCAATAGATTTTAGAAAAAAAACATTCTATTCCCAATTTTATAAAATCGGTCCACGCTATAACAGGCAAGGTCTGTTTTCTAATGCGTGGACAAGGAGCCTGGGGGAAGACGGCCTTTCCTGTACTGAGCCCGGCGGCCTGTTGGTGTATTGTTTTTGCGTTAGCTAGCCGCGCACAAGGCCAGGGTTCGCCCCCGGCCGTGGCATGCCTTTTTGCTTTTGCATTAAACGCTGGGAGCTTCGTTAAGCTACTCACCAACGTTCATTACTAACAAAGTAACATCCCACATCGGGTTCAGGTCCCCGTGCAGCATCAGCAAGTTTTCATTGCTAGCCAGGATCTCTTGAGAGTTGAGGACATGCTGGAACAAAACTGTTTTGCTGAGAGTGCGGCCCCCCCTCAGCCGGATTCGCGAAATTCGACATTTCCGATATTTTGTCGGGCTTTCCGCTATGCCAATCGATAGAGCATCAAAAAAAAATATACTAAGCGTTTTAATTACAGCCCAAAAAATGGAAGATCAATAAGTTATAGCGAAAACTTTTGCGAACTTTCGGGGGAGTAATAAAAAAATACCGAGTGTGCCAATTGGTTGGCGGTCACGATTTCGAAAATCACCATTTCGGAAATCACGATTTCGAAAAACACCATTTCGAAAGTCACCATTTCGAAAATCACCATTTCGAAAAGTCAGGATTTCGAACATTACCATTTGGGAAACACAGGATTTGGCAATGGCCCATTTCCCGTCGCAGAAAAAATGGTTTTCGTTGGCTGGTTTGAGGGTTGGGGGTCTACTATTTTTCCACTGGAGATATGATTAATTTCATTATAGACGCCACTAAAACAATTTCTATTACATCACTAGTCATATCCGAGAAAATCGTGGTTTCTCGACACTGCAATTTTATAACGGTTCTTTTCGAACTGGGGATTTTTTCGAAATGGTGTTTTTCGAAATCGTGATTTTCGAAATGGTGATTTTCGAAATGGTGATTTTCGAAATCGTGACTGGGAATCGTGCCAATTAGTACCAAAAATGTGTTGCATCTAGCACAGCACCGCGCAAGGCCGGCAGGTGCTTTTGACCTCATTTTCTTTTAATGGGAGTGCATTCGTTATTGCATGCAATTAGGGCCCTTCTGGGACTGCTGTGAGCAAAAAGTGCGCCATCTAACGCCAAAATACGGTCGATTTTACATACATACGCAACGTAGGCCTTTGCAGCAGGTTGTGGTACACGGGACGTGGAATAGGTGACGACTGTTCCGAGGATCTGAAGGTGCAGAATAGCGAGTACCTGTAATAACAGAATTTCTGGTTTCAACCTCCCTCCCTTACCAACAAAAGGTTTCGTCTCTTCCGCATCGGCCACGAGCGTTCGTAGAGAAGTAGGAGACGATAGACAAAACCGACCTGGATGGACATCTCGCAGAGGTTTATGCAAAGCATTGCGAAGACCTAGACCGTTCAGATGAGTCCACTATACGCTTTATGCTGACCGTCACTCCAAAAAGGTACGCCTCATCGGATTCGAAAGAATATCGAAAGTTGCGAAGACCCATCCCGCCGACTAGCGGCATAAATGATAAAGGCTGTATCCAAAATGAGAGGATGATGTCGACAAAAAAGGCCCATAGCTAAAAATTGAAGTATTGTCGAATTTCTGGCCGCATTCTGGAAGAAACATCGACTGCGAAAAGCATGACACTTCAGTCAGCTAAAGGCCGGTTTTTAAAGGGACTCGAAAGTCAGAATTCGGGCGTGCGGGATTGAACCTAATGGTCAAAAAACGAAATGGTCACCGCCGAGAAGCACCAGGAAATTGATTTGCGTTGCGAAAAAACGTAAAATATTTGAGAAAAACCTGAATGTTCTCGGAGCGGAAAAGCCTTTTTGAGCGCCCAGCTATTAAATGACGTAATGGCTTGTAAGGCACTCAATCTCTCGATCTGGATGATTCTCTGGCCAATTTTCATGATTACAACGTCTAGATTGATCAAAATTCCGTGAGGACTCCAGAAATAGCCTTAGAATTTTTAAATTCAAGCGTTTTCACGCCAAACAAGAGCCAGAGAACAGGCGGCGCGGTCGCGTTGCGGTACCGTCTGACTATACTTTTTTACTTTTGCCGGTTATACAATTTACGCCACTGAACCTCACCCATATATTTGCAAGAAACCACTTGTATCTACCCATATCTTTGGTTGAGTGCTTGAATATACAATAGCCACCTAGTAAATTTATTATAATCGAAATCGGTAGCACTGTATAGAATAGGGGCTGGATTATGCGCCGCAACTCGAAATTAATCGTCAAATTCTTTGGAGTCTCTGTGAAAAAGTAAGAGACACCACCATGCTCAAATATCATCACGATTTCTGAAGAAAATAGCAGGAAGGCGGAAGCCCAATGAGGAGAAGCGGGACGAGGTACGTGCTTTTGGTGAAAATAAAGCTATTAGAAAGGCACCTGGGGGTCTTTTCATCTTTTTTTTTGGGACGTGTTGGACCGCAAATTGCCTTTTGTCTTGAGGCTGGTAATTTGTTTGTGTAATTTTGTTTATTGGACGTCTCTAGCGTCCCTTCTACAGATTTATTGGATGCCGTCGATATTCTGATTCGGTACATTTGCGCGGTGTCGATTTCCTGGGGATAAAAACTAAAAACTTCCGCTAAAATCCTCGATCGGTTTCGAGAGGCATAACATTTTCCGCAAAGTTTTCCGGCCAAAATGTCGATAGGTTGATACCGTGCAGATCATTACTAGTGAATTCAAGGCACCGTGAGTCGACATTAATACGATGATGTAGCAGGAGGCGGCTGAAATTACACGCATACAAAATCACAAGTGGAGCGTACTGTCGCGTACTCGTTATCGCTTACCTTGCTCAAAGCACCATGCGATGACTGGTTCGATTTAACCAGTTCTGCTAAACAAATTCGACGTCCCGCTCACGGCGCCATGGCCCATGAGGGTCGAGGAAAACATGAATTTTCGCATCACAGATTTGCAAAAATGTCTGTAGGAAGCCACGGTGGCGATCATCACCAGCGAGTTCAAGGCACCATGCGACGACATCAGCACGATTACATAGCAAGAAACGACTAAGACAGATTTTTAACCTTGACTGGCCGCTAGGATCCGCAAAACTTACCCTGAAAATAGTCTCCTTGATAATTGGCCATCAAGGCAGCCATAATAATAAATATCGGGATTATATAAGTTGCTAGAGGGGTTATGGCCTAAAAGGGTTATCGATTGCGCAATTTAAGCCGAAACAGGACACGTTGCCCAACGCGTGCGTGTGTAGTCGTGCCTCTCGGTCATACCTTTAAAAATGTTACCTGGCCTATCAATGCTATCGCCGTTTTGAGATGCTTTCGCCTCGTCGCGTGGCTCATCAGGTCGCCAATAGCTTTTAGTCGCCGAAATATTTGAAATATCACTGCGGTAGTGATGGATAGGAAAACGACGGTGGCTAAAATCGTGTGTATACTTTATTCTTTGAAAGAAAGCCCGCTAGATTTTAAAGGGGGCTTCAAACTCTGGTCTCCGACCCCCAGCGTTGATTCCTGGCAAATAGCCAGAGATGTGGGTGCAACGCGACCGCGTCGGCTCCCCGACATTTGCGGCCCGACCATTTGCGGCCCGTCACTTGCGCCCGACACTTGCGGACGCGACATTTGCGGCCCGACACTTGCGCCCGACATTTGCGGCCCGTCCTATTCAGCCCATTTTTCTCAATATAAAATTAAAAAGAGGGTTAGTAAGGGTCTAAAGCATTTTCAGGCAAGGCGGGCCGTCGCTTCGGATGTGCTGCCGCTACGCGCGCTTCGGGCGCCCCGATTTCGAAAGAGTGGAGCGGCAGCCCATCCGAAGCGACTAGGCCCCCGGTGGCACGAAGCCTTATTTTTAGGTCAATACCAGGGGACAAGCGATCAAAACCATTCAGAAAACCAGCCTTCCGGACGGTTAACAGCTTCAGTTTTGGGTATTTAACTACAGCTTTGGGCCGCAATTGTCGGGGCCGCAAGTGTCGGGCCGCAAGTGTCGGGCCGCAACTGTCGGGCGCAAGTGACGGGCCGCAAGTGTCGCGTCCGCAAATGTCGGGCCGCAAGTGTCGCGTCCGCAAATGTCGGGCCGCAAATTTCGTGGCACCGACCGCGTCGCATATTTTTCGGCGGCAATCCTTTCGTTTTTAGCCAGTACATTCAATTCCCGAACACGCGAGTTTTCACTTCCGAGCCCCTTGAAGCTACCCACCAACGTTCATCACTAACAAAGAAACATCCCACATCGGGTTCAGGTCCCCGTGCAGCATCAGCAAGTTTTCATTACTCGCCAGAAATTCTTGAGCGTTGAGGAGATGCTGGAACAAAACTGTTTTCGGGTGGTACCAATTAGTGCCGCCGAAAAAATGTGTTCCACCCAACACCGCGCAAGGCCGGCAGGTGCTTTTGAGCGCGTTTTCTTTAAAGGACTCCAGTCGTGATTGCAGGCAATTAGGGCCCTTCTTGCACTTTTGCCAGCAAAAAGTGCGCCATCTAACGCCAAAATACGATCGTATTTACATACATACGCAAGGTAGGCCTTTGCGGCAGGTTGTGGGACCCGTGACATTGAATAGGTCACGACCGTTCCGAGGATCTCAAGGTGCAGAAAAGCGAGTAGCTGAAATTTTGTAAATTTTCGGTTTCGATTTCCATCCCTTACAAGAAAAAGGTTTCGTTTTCTCCGCATCGGCCATGAGCGTTCGTAAAGAAGTAGGAGACGATAGACAAAACCGACCTGGATGGACATCTCGCACAGGTTTATGCAAACCACTGCGAATACCTAGTTTCTTTTGATAGAGTCTTTGAAAACCTTACCGTAACCCCGAAAAGGTAAGCCTCATCGGATTCGAAAGAATATCGAAAGTGGCGCAGCCCCGTCCCGCCAACTAACGGCATAAAAGATAGAGGCTGTATCAAAAATGAGAGGATGATGTCGACGAGGAAAGCCCATAGCTAAAAAAACTCGAACTTTTTGCCTAATTTCCTGCCATGATCCAGGGAGTAATGCCGACATCCGAAAGCTAAACAGCGACAGCCCGTAAGAGTTCACTTTACCCCCCCACAGCCGAAGGGTCTGAATGTTTTCGGTATTTTCGTTTATTTTGTCGGGATTTTGGCAACGCCTTTCGATAGTACGTCGAAACATATCCTGAGAGATTTAATTTGAGCCTACAATCCTAATGTAAAATAAAAAGTTATAGCCAAAAACATCCGACTGGAGGGGGTGGTAAAGTAAAGTGAGTGTAGCCCGACAGTCAATGCTTACCCGTTATTTCCGAAGCCGTACGATCTACGCCTAATAAAAACCCACCCAGATATTTGCAAGAAACCACTTGTATCTACCCATATCTTTGGTTGAGTGCTTGAATATACAATAGCCACCTAGTAAATTTATTATAATCGAAATCGGTAGCACTGTATAGAATAGGGGCTGGATTGTGCGCCGCAACTCGAAATTAATCGTCAAATTCTTTGGAGTCTCTGTGAAAAAGTAAGAGACACCACCATGCTCAAATATCATCACGATTTCTGAGGAAAATAGCAGGAAGGCGGAAGCCCAATGAGGAGAAGCTGAACGAGGTACATGCTTTTGATGCAAATAAAGCTATTAGAAAAGCACCTGGGGGTCTTTTCATCTTTTCTTTTGTCGCGATGTTGGTAACTTGTTCGTATCTTTTTGCTTATTTTCACGTCACTAGCGTCACTTCTGCAGATTTATTGGATACCGGCGGTATTCTGATGAGGTACATTTGCGCGTTGTCGATTTCCTGGCGACAAACTGTCGGTGCGGGACCACAAAGCGGAACTTCCGCTAAAATCCCCGATCGGTTTTGAGAGGCATAATATTTTAAACAAAGTTCTTCGACCAAAATGTCGATAGGTTGCTACCGTGCAGATCATTACTAATGAATTCAAGGCACCGTGAGTCGACATTAACACGATGATGTAGCAGGAGGCGGCTGAAATTTCGCGCTGAACGAACCAAAATCGGTCGTTGCGTACTGTTTCGTAGTCATTACTGCTTACCTTGTAAGTAATCGCCCTCGTAATTCGCTTTAACAGCAGCTAAGATGATGATGATTGGGATAATATAGGTAGCTAGTGGGATCAGGGCCTGGAAAACTAGCCTAACGACAGTTTTTCGGGGATTACCTGGCAAAGCAAAGCGATCAACGTCTTCATGTGCCTTCTAAAAGCTTCTCGACTCATCAATAAGCCGATTTGTTTTAAGCGGCGAAATATCTGGGTTATGACAGCGACATTGATCACCATGAAGATGCCGGTGCCTAAAAAGTTATCTCATTTGGTGTGAATTCGAAAGCTTAATAGGTTACTTAAGAATCAGATTACTTACCTATATTCATCGCCCAATTTGTCGTGTCCCACATCGGGTTTAGGTCACCATGGAGAAGCATTAAATTATGACCAAAGTCCAGAATTTCTTGGTAATTCAAGACGTGCTTAATTCGATATTAACCAAGTAAACGGTCTCCTACTTACAAAAGCCAAATAAGCTCTAGCCGCTGGCTGCTGGACACTGGACATTGAATATGTGGTAAGAGCCGCAACGACTTGGAGGTGTAGGAAGGCCAGTAACTAAAATACGACATTCATCAGAAAAATTCCGTAAACTTGATTCTACATCGAATTGCCTTACAATAAAAAGGTTTCGTGTCCTCCGCATTGGCCATGAATGCTCGTAAAGAAGTATGAGACGATAGACAAAACCCAGTTGTATGGAAACCTCGCAAAGGTTGATGCATCCAAGGGCAAATACCTAGCAAAATTCCATGTACTTTTTTTTAGCGAGCAGTTCTATCCCTTTCTTGAACTTACCGTAATTCCAAACATATAGATTTCATTGTACTCTAGCCAAAATCCATGGTGTCTCAACCCAATACCGCCAGTTAGAGGTATAAAAGAAAGGGGTTGAAGCCATAAAGCGATGAGCATATCGACGATAAACGCCCAGATCTGCAATTTTTTAATTATTGACCTGGTCTCTGATCATTAATGGCTCCCAGGACGGCGTTGCTACTTATCTCAAATAGAGAAAAGCCGGTGATGCTTTAATTTGCCGCCTTGCTACATTGGAACTCGACACCAATTTCCGTTTAAAGAGAGGAGGAAGTGCCAAACATAAGCCCTTTGGGGAGGGGGGGCTATATTACTGCCAATCTGCGAATTATAGTGTTTTCACAAAGAAATCGCACAAAGATCGAAAGAGCCAGGGCTCTCTCTCTCTCTCTCTCTCTCTCCTCTCTCTCTCTCGCTTCCCGTTACGGCCGCTGGCAATTTTCCAGAAATATAAAGCCCCTGCCAAAAAGGCTTATATTTGGCACTTCCGCGCCCCTTTAAAGATCAAAAATAAAAAATAGGGTTCTAGTAGCGTAGACAGGGGGTGAAACCTAAAATTTCAACAAGTAACCTACCCAAATATACCCAAGAAACCATTTATATCTCCCCATATCCTTCGTCGACTTCTTGACAATACAATATCCTCCCAGTAGATTTATAAAAATTGAGAGCGGCAGCACAGACCAATAGAGCGGCTCAATAATCCGCCGGATCTCGAGGTTGATCGTCAGATTTTTTGGGGTTTCTGTGAAATAATAGGTGCCACCCTCAAAGTCGAAACGCGTCATTTTTGGTAGAATATTGTTCAGTAGGTTCAAAATAAGGACTGAACCCAGGGGGCATAACGAGGGACACAATCATATGAAAACCACCTGCTCTACTTTTTTGTAAAAAACATCAAGGCCACTTGTGGGCGGCGAATTGCACCCTAACAAGCTAAAGTCGAATCTGCTTTGCAAACGTATCAAAATGCAAAGCGGCAAAAATATATGCTGTCGGTGCATAAGAAAAGGTGAGGCCAACAGCCATAAGTCACCAGCCATAAGTGAGGCCGCGTAAAAACGTGAAAAAAAATATATTTTATCACAAGAATCTGTAAGAATATCGTACAAAAATGAGATTAGACGTGGTGTTTCAACTTGGAGGTTGATTTTGAGCCTGCGCATTCGCCAGCGCTTTCACGCGCCGCCACTGTTTTCTTCGCGCAACGGCGGCGGCCGGCAGAATTTGGTCGTCTCCCGAATTTTCACTAGAAGGCGCCAGCTTCGTCTTTTTTAGCAATTTTCTGATCAGCGCTTGGCAATAGTGACGATAGGAGGCCACGGTGATGATCATCGCCAACGAGTTCAGGGCCCCGTGCGTTGACATCAACGCGATGATGTAGCAGGTTATTGTTGAAAGGAAATTTCGATAAAAGCCGGTTTTAAAAATCAAACGTACTCTGCATATGTGGGATTTCCTTGTTAGAAGTGACGGCCGTCATGATTAAAATCAGAGGAACGATGTAGACGATCACTGGCATTACGGCCTGAAACTAAATTTTCGTATACCGTAGGTTTAGAGATTTCCACGACGTTTAGCACGATTTTCAAGGCCCATCATACCTGCAGTAACAAAGCATATAATGCTCCTAGATGCCGCGCCCTGGCCACTCGACTCATCAGGGAGCCCAGGGCCTTGATCCGACGCAACGTCAACGTGATAATTATTGAATTATTGACGACGTAGATGCCAAGACCTGAAATCAATAATTTTTTTACTCGCCAGAAACTCACCAATAATAAATCCGACGTAGGTGACATCCCACCATGGGCTGATATCACGGTGCAGCATGAGAAGGATATGTCCGGAGGCCAGGCATTCCGCACTGTTCGTCACGTGCTAAACCGCTTCAGTGGCTTAAATTTAGGACTCACATAAGCAAAATAGGCTCTGCAGGCTTCTTGGCGGGGGTAGGCGAGGCCGAACGTCAGCGTATTCCCGATAACGCCATGATGCAGCGGGACTAGCAACTAAATCTAACACTTTCAAGTTCAACAAGCAAAAAATTACCAAAAATAGGTTCCGCTTCCTCCGCATCGGCCATGAATGCTCATATAGAATTAGCAGGCGATAGAGCAGCCCCAGCTGAATCGATAGTACGCAAGATAGAACGCAGCCGAGACAGCTGACCTGGAACACTGAATTTGTGACAACCGAAGCATAGAAAGCTACCGTAATCGTGAAGATCGTGGCGAAGTAGTGCTCAAAAGGGAAGCCGTAATATCGGATTCCGATTCCGCCAATTAGTGGTAGAAACGACATCGGCTGCGTGATCCAGCATATCGAGATATCGGCCGCGAATGCCCAGAACTAAAAGGGAACATTGAATTTTGTAAATAGTGTTTTAAGCTATCTTAATTTATCCCCGGCCCCACGAAGATTGGTTCTGGACTGTTAGCGGGGGGATTTTAGCGGGGGAAACCAAATTTTTCACTGTGATTCTCCACGGCCCTATAACAAAATACAAACCATTTTTATAGCATCTTACATAGTTTATAGAATAATAATTAAAATGTTGAAAAATTTTGAATTTTATAGTTAAAAATGTATGAAAAATTAACAAAAAAAGCTCAAAATTTTCGAATTTTCAAAATTATTTTATAGCTTCGGAAAAACAAAAAGTGGTTCCCCCCTGCTCAAAATCCCCCCGCTAACAGTTCAGAGCCCGAAAATTTTCATAGCCTTAGAAATGAGAGAAATTGCCTGGAAATTCCCCCCCCCTCCAACTCACCCAAATATTAAACAAGAACCACTTATACCGCCCCATCTCTTTCGTTGACTGCGTAAAAATACAGTAACCACCCAGGGAATTGATCAAAGCTGAGGGCAGCAGCATAATGTGAAAAATCGTCCGAAGTGTATTCCGGATCTCGAAGTCGATCGTCAGATTCCTGCGAGTTTCCGTGAATACCCACGTCCTATTCTCAAAATAAAATTCGGTCATTTTACCATAAAGTTTAAGAGTCGTGGCAAACAAGATCGCTACACTTTCGACGCTTCCCCCGGATTATTCCGGGTTTTAGGAATGCACCTGTTTCCTGAAATCGCGGCAGTGATGAACTTCTGCCAGTTCATGGCCAACATTTTCACTAAAAGGCCTCGCCCACGCCTTCTATTTCTAGAAGAGCTAATAAATACCTTCAAATCGTCGTAAAAAGCTTGAAATCCAGGCAACATCGCAATTTTACGCACTGCTTTCCAGCAACACACCTAAAATCAACTTATATGGCTGTCGCAATACCAAAATCCGGTGCAATACAATGTAGATTTCAAGGTTTTGATCAATTCAATCGTTTATTAGTGCTTCCGCTCAATGAATCTTCGCACAAACTCGGCAGTCAATGGGATTGGCACAGGGAATGGCAGCGGAATTGGCAGAAAAATGGGGGTTTCTCGTTTTTGAAGGCTTTTCTGGTAAAATGCTTGGAGCTGGGCGTCTATTAAGTCATCGGAAGATTTCAGGGCCGGTTTTTGGTCTTTGGCTTCTGTTTTCCGACTCAAACCTTGGCTTGCGGGCTTTTGAGGAACCGTAGTTTTGGAGGCCGCGGGCGTTTCAGTTATTCTAGAAGGTCCGGGGAGGGATGGAGGAAACATTAGGTGGTACGGTAAGAAGGGTGCGGGACCGGGCAGCGGTGGGAAATGTTGAAATGGTGGGAGAAGGTGCGGAAATGGGGGCTGTAGATGAGGGTGAAAGTGCAGTGGGGAGAGCGGGGGTGGAAATATAAGGGGAGAAGCTGGTGGAGCCTGTGAGGGTGAGGTCGGCTTGCCGGTCGCGCGAAGCTCATCCCAGTATCGTTTGTTGAGCCGGTGTGGCGGGTGTGGACGTGCAGGGCCGGCACGCTTCCGACTTGGCTTGGCTGGCTTGTCAATGCTTGCCTGAAAATAGAGTTATTATAGCTGAAAACAGAAAGCATTTTGTATATTTTGTCTATTTCAGGGAATTTTATAGTTTCTAATTCGCCTAAGAAGTATTCCGGCACTAATTGCTTACCTAGTGGCCCGATCAAAAAATTCAAAATTCACCTGGGTGGGCGAAAAGCGCATGTAAGGCAGCGGCAGTGTTTGTTGGGGCATTTCCAGGACGAAAACGCCGGTTGGACGTCGTGGCGTTCCTCAAAATGGGTAAAAATAGAAGATAGGAGAAACGAGTACGGCGTGGATCAGAACGCACTATGCAAAACAAGACAGAAAGGGAGCGTATGGACAACTCAAAAGCGGTTTTACGAGCTCTCGAGCGTTCAAGTATTCAGGCTAATTTGAAAAAATTCGTAAAAATTTATTAAACTGCGGACTTCAAAAGTTTTGTAAGAAAACTTCAAGTGCTTTTAGCAGTTATGCCAGCATAATTAGTGCAAAGAACCTGTAAGCAATGCTCAATCATGGCCCTTTTGTCTAAGGAATGCTTTAATACTTTAAAAGACAGAGCACAAAGCTTATTTAGTAAGTATATTTTTCTGGGACGTTAAAAATTCGCTCGAACGCATGAGCTATACCCCAGATGCTCGGCTTTAAGGTATGCAAGAAAAATACACAAATAAACCAAATAAACCCCCGAATAGCCTCGAAGGAGCCTCAGAATGAATAGCGGGCTCGGCGACCGGGTGGCAAGCTGAAACGTGAAGCGGGCTAGATGGTGGGGGAGAGGGTGTGGAATTGTATGCCGGGGGCAGGTCGGATGTCAGACAGTAAGCATCCATTCAGGGCCCTAAGAAAGCGAAGGGCCGTCGAAACGAGGAAACTCGAGACCCCTTCCCATGCCACCACACCCTGTAGTCCGATACACTCCTCTGCACCCACTCCTCCACATCGCCCGAAGATCCGATTCTCCCTTTCGAGGAGGCCGACCCGGCGGGGAAGTGCGGAAATCGTAGTTGACAGAAGGTTAAACGAGAAGAAGTCAGGGGTCCAAACGTTAAGCCTTACTCACATAAGCTAATTTTAAAGCTATCTTTATCGGAAAATCCAGGGCTTGAAGAAACTCCGCACGCGAGATTCACTGGGAATGCTTTTTCAAGGGACTGGGAAAAAGCGTACGCTCCGCGACCGAATCGATTAGAAACGAAGGGTTATCGCCTAAAAATGCCCGTAAATCCCTTTCGATATCAAAAACTCCAAGGATGGCGAAAAGATTATTCTTTTTCCTGAAATCGACTTGTGCGCATGAATTACAGGTCGAAATGAGTTCTAGAGCGCGCAGCCAAAACCGCTTCGTCCCTTGAACACGAACCGTTTCAATAAACGATCCCTGAAACAGATAAAAAAAGCATGACAAAATATAGCATTTTCAAAACCTGAAAACCTGTCAATCAAAAAAAACCGCCTAACTGCCGCCATTTGATCCACGAAAAACGGCATCAACAGCTTTCTGTTGTGCCTCCGCAGGGCGACGGCTTGGTTTGCATGTTCACGGGTCACACTTGCCAAGGGCCTCCCCGTGGCCAAAGCGGGACCCATGTAAGGGGACCCGACGGCAATCCACCGGATCCGCGCCTTGTCCCCGGTGCGGACACCTGATCCCCCGCCTATCCCTTCGGCTACTCGTCTTTCCTCGCCCTAAAGTGTCACGGCAATGCTTCAAAAACGGCTACAAAAGCTGGCCCGAAAATCAAAACTTGCCCGCCTTTTAAACTGTTTTTCAAACACACGTATTCTTAAGACATTTTATATACAAATCCAAATACGCCTGGGTCATCGCTCTCATGCACGGGTGAAACGTGCAGGTCGTGTATTACGCAGGTGCATCGTGATCTAAATGTTGGACTGTATCAATCGCCATCAGCAAAATATTGCTCTTCTACAGTATACTCAGCGTCGAAACAACGTACAACCATTTCAAGGCGAGTAAAATTAAAAATTTATTCACAATGCGAATATAAACTGTAAAATGGGAAATCCGAGAAGACCGCGATGAACGGTAGCGTCAGGCTTCATGCATGGTGGACGTGGACGCCTTCAGATCCTTGGCGATTGCGTCATCGCGGACGCGCCTAAAATTAAAAGTGAAGGAAAGATGCGATAGCTTACCTCAGGAAGGTCGCCGTTTTGCCGATGCTCTTCTCATCCACGTCGTTGAACTCGTCGAGAAAGAAAGCAAACTTCATGTTTACTGAGTCGTAGTGGCCCTTCAGCTTGGCTGGACGTGGATTTTGATGCTAAACCGAATTTTTGGCTCAAAAAATCTTGATACTTTGGGCTGGAGGACGGCGAATACGGTAGCTTCATGAAGATCGTCTGGAGTAAGCGTAGGGTCGTTGATTGGTCTAAATTTGTTAGTCGAGAAGCAATTGCAAAGAAACCTTGGTGGAAGCGGGATTGCCATGACGGCATTTCCATTGTTGCACTCTTTGCGGTGGTGCGCCAGCCGAATTTCATCAAAGGTGGCGAAGCCACACTGGCAGATCTGCTTCACGCTAAACAAACTTGTAATATTCGAAACGTGCAAACCTCTTAATCGCCCCTTTATTCAGGCCGCCCCGTTCGATGTGGAGTGTTGTCGCCGTGGGCACGGAGCAAACTGCTTGCGGTGCTTCGTTGGCAATAAGTGGTTGAGTTTCAGCCTGGGCGCTTGAGTTTGCATTTTCATCCATGGTCTAAAATAGAATATATCGTAACCGAAAACAAACCCACCAACTTCTTCAGACACCCTGGGCTGAGCGCAACTCTTCCGTGGTCCTTTCTCAGATGCTTCTGAACCTCCGCTTGTGTCCCGAATTGGTATGCGCACTTGGGACATCGCGCATCGGTGTCACCTAAATACATAAGCGTTCGATTCTAAGAAAGTCACCTGTGGCGTGCGTTCGGCAATGCTTGATAAAGTTGGCGACTTTCCTCGTATTGCGCGCCGTTCGGACCGTCTCTGTGTATGGGCAAAAGGGACACCATAGCAACCGGATGTCGCCGTGTACCTGGAAAGCAAAAATTAGTCGAATCCAGTTTTTTGATACATGCAAACTATTTCACTTCGCTAACCCGTATTCAACGCCCCCAAATGCTATTTTCAGAAAATTCATCCTTGCTACAGCATCATTCTACTCCTAAAATTATGTTACCTTCTTCAAAGGCAAGTAAATGTCAAATATAAGCCTCTTTGGGAGGAGCCTTATATTTCTGACAAATTGCCAGCGGCCGCTGAGGAACGAGAGCCCTCACTCCTTCGATTTTTCCGCGAAGCTGGTTTTGCTCGTTTTGTTTGTGAAAAAAATATAATTGGCCAATTCTGAGCTTTCTTATGAAATCCTCGCTCAATTCTAAATCGTTTTGGTCTTTTAATCATCGAATTTGGTTCAGAAACACCCGAGGACGTGATTTGGAAGTGACGACGGGGAATTTCAAATTCAGGCGCTCGCCGCCCTCTCGGGTGTACAAAGGCCTTCGACGTACAGGGCTCTACCTTTCGTGCCGTAACTCAATTTTTGGCATTTCGGAGTCCCTTTAACATACAACGGAAAATGGGCAACTAAGATGCAACTGATTACGCCATGCAAAAGCAGGTGATAGTGGCCAGCTCAACAGCCTGGCCTGCCTTTAGTATCGTCCGGCTAGGTTAGGAACTTTATTGAAGGTCGCGCAATCACGAAACCAGGTCCGCTGTCACGAGCTTGCGGTTATTACTAACATATGAAACCCTTAAAAAATGCAGTAAGTACCTGAAGGTAATGGCTCATCAGATGCTTGCGCTGTGGAGAACGAAATTGGCATTGAGGCTCCTGGCATCTGTACGAGGCTTCCTAAAAGCAGAATAAGATTTTATAGCACCGTCCGTCTTACTGTTTCGACATGTATGGCGCGGTGCTTCAGAAGAGCCTCCGATTGAAAAGTCTCTTCACAGGTCAAACACGTCGATTGCTTCATTGCGGTTTCGATCCGTGAATGCACGCGGGTGTAATGTGCCTATAATGTGAATTGACAGAGAAAGCACCGTTATTTTCCGACATACGGTTTTAACCGCAAGTTTTGGGAAATCCTCAAAACTAGCTAGAGGAATAGGTCCGCGGAAATAGCCCTTTTTCTCTTCCTATGCCGTGGCCAAAAATTGGAAAAATGAAAGTTGGATTCATCATCAACGCCAAACACTGTAGATGATGGTTCTTGAGTGGGGGGATTTCGCAGGGGGGCCACTTTTTTTCGGTTGGCCCTGGTGGGCATAGTAATCAAATATAAAGTGTTTTCACATTGTTTTTAGCAAAATTTAAGCCTATTTTAATCGAAAAAAACTTTTTAAAAAGTTAGAAAAACGCTTGAAAAAAAGTCAAAAATTTTGTCATTTTTGGGTCGAAAAAATAGGAGCTATAAACATTACCTCTTAGGAATAGCTATAAACAATTTAGAAACACTGCCACTATTTATATAAAAAATCTAGGCTTGAGCCGAAAAAAGTTCGGTTCTCCCCTCAATTTGAGAAGTTGCATGGATAGACTTTCAAGTAACAGAAGAGCGTACGGCTAGGTGATCGGTGTGTGCGTCCTTCCCCCCCACCCCACTTCCTAAGACCTTTAATAACATCAGGCAAACTCAAGATAACACCTGTAGCTGTCCTGGATCGCGGAAGCTTCTTAAGCACTCAATGCAGGTGGTGAGGCCCCTCTCATCACACTTGTCCGTAATTTCGTGATCTATAGTAAAGTTGTGCACCAAAGCGGTCTTACTAATGTGAGCACGCACGTGGGCGACCATCGCGACGTTGCCTTTGATGACTCGCCCGCAGGTCCCTCCATAAGTGCACTAAAACTTTGCAAATCAGTGCACGAAAATATACCTTGAACTTCAATAGGACCTTCCTTGAACGGTTCTTGCCTGATCGTCGAAGTTGGGGTCCACCGAGTTTTTTTTCTGCAACAAAATACTATTGTGTAAAATGGCAAATAAACGCACCGTTTTTATTGTCATCCCGAGTCGCTTCAAGGCCAACTTCAATTTCAGGTTTGGTGATCTCCAGCGCTTGCATGCCTGAAATTCGGTGTAAGCCAGGATCAACACATGTGGCGAAAGCTAACAAGACAGTCAGTGAAACACTCTACAGGCCAATGATCGCGCTGCCGCGCACACCGCCGAAGCGGGTGCTATGGTAAAGTTTAAGTCGTGGCTGCGCCCCATGCCGAAACCTGCTACCGTACACTCCGATCCCTCCAAGCAGCAGTTTTTAGGTGTGGAATGAGAGCATTCCTTTTTAAAGGGATAACGACGACATAGGTAATCGGTGACGCGAGGGAAAGATAATTTCTTTGCGGCTCGCCCTTGCGCGCGTTCTCTGCCCTGTTGCTCTGTTGCCAAAAAGTCGATCAGGGTGATCAACCTATGCCGTCGGCATCCCTTTAAAGATATAAGAAGACATAGGTCGAAGTCCCGGATTGACTAAAAAGCGACGAGCGGGAATTGAGGCGCAGATACAGTCCCTTCTCCCGCGTAATGTATTGCCTTATGCCGCCCTTATCCCCTTAAAGAAATATGGTCGGCATAAGTCAATCGGTTACCCGGGGAAAGGGTCTTTGCGTCTCTTACCTGGGCGCGCTCTCTCTCCGTTAGCTCTGCGCGAAAAAGTTCTGAAAACGGGGTTCGCCCATGCCGTCCTTATCCCCTTAATAAGGAGCACCCTTAATTGAGTCACCATCCCCAGGGTATCTCATAACAGCGCACGACCAAGCGGTACCGCGTCACTTGCGACGTGGCACTTGCGGCGTGACTATGCGACGCGACAGTTGCGGCGCGCCACTTGCGCCCGACACTTGTGGCGAGACCTTGCGGTTGTTTAGTGTAAACTACATAAAAATAGTTTAAAGTGTTATTTTATACGCTGCGTCCGAATTTGGTGATAACAACTCTAAAAAGACGGGTTTGCGACAGAAGTCACCCAATTTGGAGGGAAGGTAACCGCTACTCCCTCCGCTCTGCGACTAGAAAAAGGCTTCGTGCTACCCGGGGCCTAGTCCCTTCGGATGGGTGCGAGCTCGTACAGGGTTTCGAAATCCAGGCGCCCAAGGCGCGCGCAGCGGCCCGATTTCGAAAGAATGAGGCGGCAGGCCATCCGAAGCGACGGCCCCCCTTGCCTGAAGCCTGACTTATGCTAACTGCGGCAGGCACCCATGAAGTCATCTCAATTCATACAGGGTGTAATTCATAAAGGCGCAATCGTAGACATTAGGATCAAGATGACGTCGGGGACAAATAGTCTGAACATTCCATTCGTTACCCGGCGGTGGCAGGGTTGGGATTTGTACAAAAAAATAGTTTTATAAGACACAAACTATTCAAATAAATTGGACAAAAATTATCGCGAAAAGAAATGAGGAAATTTGCTCGGCTAAACTTCATTCATACCGTAGTGTCATCGGTGCAGGACCATCTTGATGCCCATAAAGGCGACCCACCGCCGGCATTGGTCAATGCATCCGAAACCAACCACTGCAAAAAAAAGTATAAAACGGTTGCGCTTCCGCAAAAATACCATCGATAAATGTTGATGCTGGTACAGCACGATCGGCAACGGCCCGTGGTACGCAGTAACGTTGATCGGGTTTTTGGCGCGTCATCGACTTCTGTTTATTGCTTTTCAGGATGGCCCATCCATCTGCAATCAAAGCGTTATCGAAGGAATACGGCATAAGAAACAGAAATGAAAGCAACGATAGAAGAAAAAGAGAGGATGGAACAAGAAACGCCAGAAACAACAAGGAAAAGGAGATATTGTTGAAAAAAGGTGCGTAAATAAAGCTGGCCAAAGCTCGTCTTTGCGGCGCTATACGGGAGGGCGCGAAAAGGAGTTGGGCGTTCATTACGGGCTGCCTTATTGCACAGCTAAGGAAAAGAAAAATAATGAAGTTTCGGACCGTGCAATTATTCCTTTTCTAGAATCATACCTTGTTTTCAATTTTGCGCTTTTTATACCTGTTTTATAGGAGCAACCATCAAGAACAACGCGACGGGACGGAATGAAGCACTCAGACACACAGGTTTTAGTTTAATGTTCCCCTGGATTTCAACCTAATGTTTTGTTTAGTTGAAAGATACAAGAACACTGGCATGACTCTACTGCTGATGGTGTGGAACACAATCATGGAGGTCTGCGCTTTGCTTTTTCTACTAAACACTTTTTATTTAAGGCCGGGAACGAACGTTGTGGCGGCACGAAAAGGTATATAAAGTACGGTTTAGGTACGAGTTTCCGCCACGTCGTTTGATTTAAATTGGTAGGTGAATGACTGGATGAAGTGAAGAAGCGGTAAGGTACTTACGAAAATTATATAAACTTTGTTTAGGCGCTGAAAAGCGTAGCGATCTAACCGATGCCACTAGCGCCCTGGAGATAGCTCGGCTATACTGGATGGATGCTTCACCCGTTTCCACGCCCGCATGACACGGATATACTAGGCGACGTATGATGTAAGCTTTTTTTTGGGGGTTTTGATCATTTTTTTAGGAGCACCAGCAAGGCGGAAAGCTTAGGCTCGGCGACGGTGGCCGAACGAGTGGCAAGGCTGTAGATGAAGCCTCCACGCACAAGAAAAAGGTTAGGTTCTCAGCCTTTTAACTGTCTGCAATTTTTTAGGTTGCAAACCTGCGCTAAACCGCTGCCCTGGAGAATACCGGACCACTCGATCCCCGCTGACATTGTTTGAAGCCGAAGGTGGGACGGTGCCACGCTCGTCAACCTGATCCAACTGCGGTTAGTGGCTATTGTTTACATTTAACCGCCTCTTTAGTGATGATTCCGCGTACCGAGGACGAAGCGAGGCCCACCCAGGGAAATTCACGACGAAGTAACATCTCAGTGAAGCGCTAAAGTAGGCAAAAACCTTTTGAGTTTCGTTTTCACATTGTGATTTGTGCATTGCTGTTTGTTGGTTGTGATATGTGCTGGTATGATGAATATATGTAGGCAAAAAATTTTCTAACAGATTTCAGCCTATTTTCGATGCAAAATACACCGGGAATAACAAGGAAAAACAGGGTCACAGTGGAAAAAATTCGGTGATGTTTAGTCGAGCTCAGTTCTGGACTCTCCGGATTGTTTCAGTACAAGGAAAATGCTTTCTGCTGTCAAATGCAACTACAACCACTTTTTCCCAAAATAAACAATGTCGTCAGCCGCCCATCCGTCAGTTCCTGTTGCGGGTTTCGGGTACTTTTCAAGTGCACCCCTCCTCCTCCGCCGACTTGTCAAGCGCCAGAGGCGAAGCCCGACAATCCCTGCTACCGTACCATGTTGACGGGATGATTTCGAAAATGTGCCGCCTAATCCGGCACGAGGATGGCTTCCTTGGCCAGCCCCTGGCGTCCAGCAAGCATCCCGATCGAGCCCCCATTCACACTACACTGCCGTGAATGCTGCGATTTCTTCTCAATTTGTTGATATTTGCCCGGTTTGCCGATGGCCAGGTATGGTTTTGTTGATGTTTATTTAGAATGATAAATCCAGAAGGATGGGAAGGGAGAATCTATGGTTTACTTTAGAGCAGCAGCACATCCGTCCTCCCGATGTCCGCTACAAGCACGCAGATATTCTACACATCACCGGCGCCCGATCCGGACGCGAAAGGGACTCTGCGCATTGGATTTATGGGTATTTAATTATTAGAAAGCCATTGCTGTTTGCTTGGAGTTATTTCACTCCTTTTTCTAGTTGCCGATTCGATCCGCGCCACAGAAATCGGCTTCTCACAATCTGCCGGTGTCATTTCGCTGGCACTTGATGAGCTCCGTGCCCAGAACATTCTAACCCATTGGAATATTGAGTAAAACAAGCTTTGCGCTAAATTTAATTTTTTTTACTTTAGGTTCTTTCTCAATTTCACCGAATGCAACGAGACCCTCGCTGCCGGAACGGCTGTTGAAATGCTCACGCTCAACGATGTACAGGCGATCATCGGTCCGCCATGCAATCAGGGTACGACTCTTACGTATTAGAAAGATCTTTTTGTTTAGCCATCTTTCCCGTGGCCGTCATCAGCTCGTACTACCGCATCCCGCAATTTGCTTGGGGCTACTCGAACGCCAACGCCTACTCGGACGTCAATCGTTTTCCGTACCTCAGCATAATCACGCCCAATTCGTTGCAGTAAGTATCATTTTATAAGGTTACAAGGTTACGGGTCGCTGCGCTCTTCCTAAAAGTAGCAGTCTTCTTTCAGGTACGGCTACGCTCTCGTCTCGATCATGCAAAAGTATCAATGGTCAGCAAGATTTCCTTTATATCAACCTTTCATTTAGGAATCAAGTGGGGATCGTGTATTCAACTGATGAAGTGGCGTATTGCGACAATATGATTTCGGATTTCGAGGTGGGTTGCTTTTAACTGCGTAATCTTTTAGTGATAAACAAGGTATTCTGATGGCTCCCCGACATTTGCGGCCCGACCATTTGCGGCCCGACACTTGCGGCCCGACAGATGCGGCCCGACATTTGCGGCCCGTCACTTGCGCCCGACACTTGCGGACGCGACATTTGCGGCCCGACATTTACGGCCCGACACTTGCGCCTGACATTTGCGGCCCGTCCTATTCAGCCCATTTTTCTCAATATAAAATTAAAAAGAGGGTTAGTAAGGGTCTAAAGCATTTTCAGGCAAGGCGGGCCGTCGCTTCGGATGGGCTGCCGCTCCACTCTTTCGAAATCGGGGCGCCTGGCCGCTACGCGCGCCTCGGGCGCCCCGATTTCGAAACCCTGTACGAGCTCGCACCCATCCGAAGCGACTAGGCCCCGGGTGGCACGAAGCCTTATTTTTAGGTCCATACCAGGGGACAAGCTATCAAAACCATTCAGAAAACTAGCCTGCCGGACGGTTAAAAGCTTCAGTTTTAGGTAATTAACGACAGCTTTGGGCCGCAATTGTCGGGCCGCCGCAATTGTCGGGCGCAAATGTCGGGCCGCAACTTTCGGGCGCAAGTGACGGGCCGCAAGTGTCGGGCCGCAAGTGTCGCGTCCGCAAATGTCGGGCCGCAAGTGTCGGGCCGCAAGTGTCGGGCCGCAAATGGTCGGGCCGCAAATGTCGTGGCACCATTCTGATATTCAGACGGCGATCGCCGACCCTACCGTCTACAACATCGATATCATGACCCGTGCAAGCGTTAACAGCTTAAACGCGAGCTTTATTGATCCCGTGATGCCGCGCTTGAAATCCCGGGCCAGAGGTATTTTCGGAAGCTTTTTAATCACCGCAATTCTCAGTTTTCCTACTCTGCTTTATGTCCGACTACCGCTATCGTCAGTTCTTCATCTCGGCTTACCGCAATAATGTGAGTGAATTGAGCTATTTTTAGACATCGATCATTTTCAGATGACAAGCTCCGAGTACGTGTACATTGGGCTGAAGATGGGCGGCTACGGCTTTGCCGCCAACTCCTACGTCAACTCGACTACCGTGGATAGGTGTACGTAGCTTTGAGCCGGAAGGCAATCATCTCTTGAACTTCAGTGTTGCGGGGTTTCTTCCCATTTTTAGGGATTCGTGTGCCAGAAGGGGATGATTGCCAAGGGCTTGATTCCCTTCAGTAGTTAATTTGAGAAGGGGATTGAACATCACCACGAGATTTTTGAGCACTGGGAATTAGGAATACGGTGATTTTCGGGTTAGAATTGCTTTCATGATCTGTGAAGATAGAGAAAAGAAAAAAAATTGGAAATGATGATGTTACAAGCGGAAGAACAAGAAGTCATTACAGTCTCGGATGGACAGACGCCAATTTGGGTGGATGGATACTACAACAATGCCGACGGAATGAACGACAAGGCCAAGCAGGTCGCTGCGAGGACACTTATTGTACGTGAAAAGCTGTTACATACTACGAGACCTTTTTGCCATTATCTCTATCTAACTAACAGCGTAATTACACTAAAAATAGACCTTTTTCAGTTGGATATCCAGAGGACGTCCGTCACCGCAAGCGGATTGTCCAACGACGATTATCGAAAAGCTGTTTTGACTAGGGTAAACTGCTTTTTCCACGGTTTCAATCGTCGATCCGATGTTTAGCTACGCGACTACCCGTTCTATTGCGCGACGCTGAACTGCACGAATAACCTGGACACTGGCGATGCGGTAAGCTTTTCAATGCTGTTTTTTAATCGTAGTTTAGGTGGCTGTCTACACCAGCTATCTGCACGACGCCTTCTTCCAGTGGGCCATCCTGGCCAACAAGAGCATCGCCGCAAATAATGGCCAATTCGACCTGACACAGATGATCCAAATGATGGGCACGTCGGCTGCGTCGTTTAACGGTTTGGCGGCAATAACTTTGAAGTACTATTGAATCTAGGATACTCCGGAAATGTGGAAATGACGTCGAATGGGACCCGATCACCGCAATTTTTCCTATATGGATTGGACAATATTTTCCAGCAGAAGCTGTTCCTCAATATTTCACCGACCACTATTGATTCTTATTATATGGTAAGACTTTTAATTATATCTGGAAAGACGTGGGATTTCATAACTAATTTGTTTTTAGCAAGTAACCGCGCTCTACACCTCCGAAGCCAGCTCGATTTGGGCGAATCGCAATGGAATTCGTCCATTATCGAAGCCGATCTGCGGGTAAGGACTTTTTTATCAAGCATCCTATTTTTTTTTAGATTTACCGGAGATGAGTGCCCGTTATCGACATGGGAGCAAAGTGGACCGTTCATCATTGGTGGAGCCGTACTGGTCTTCTTGTTCATCGTTTCATCGATTCTACTGGGAATTTTCCTTTTTATGTAAGCGTTTTGAACTGCTTAAATTTATAAATTTACAGTCAAAAGAAACGCGAAAAAGAACGCCTTGATGCCGAATGGAAAATCCCGCAAGCAATTCTGGAATCTGTTAAAGAAAGGGTAATCCAAACAATTTTTGCTAAAATTTTTGATTTTAGGAAATGGAGAAAAGTAAAATATCGCTACAATCGAGAAATTCGGACAAGTCCCAGGCGACGACGAGGACTAGTCGATCCCAAACTACATTTACCGTATGGATCACCTCAAAACTATATGGTTTTTAGGACAAATCCGTGTATTTTATGGCCGGGGAGCCTGTGCAGACAAAGACGCATCATCAGAGCTCGTTTTTCACAGAGGCCGATTTCAAACAGTTTCGAGAGGTGTGTTTTTTAGCTATTAAAAAGATATAGATAAATTTAGATGCGCAAAATGGAGCACGACAACGTATGCCGATTCCTGGGGTTGTGTATTGAGATGGCACCGCCATTATCGATTTGGAAATATTGTTCTAGGGGATCTTTGGATGTGAGTTTTACTAGTTTTGCTCTAAAAGCTCTTTCAGGAAGCCATCATGAAATCATCGCTCGAATTCGACGGATTTTTCATGTACTCTCTGATCCGGGATATCGTGGCTGGTCTGACTTATATTCACAAATCGTCATTGCAACTTCACGGAAAGCTTAAGTGGGTAGCAAAAAAATAAAAACCCACTTAAAAAGTTAAATGCCTGTATTTGGACTAATTCAGCTCTCACGTGTGTATGATCGACGACCGGTGGCAGCTAAAAATCAGCGGCTACGGGCTGACGTCCCTGAAAGAGGTTACCAAAGAAGAAACCTATAATGGTATCTTTAATCTAAACACTATCGCCCAGGAAATGCCATTTTATACTTCACCAAATTTTTTAGGACTCCTCTGGTCCGCACCAGAAATCCTGCGCGGCCAGGAGCACGTCTCGAAAAAGGCCGACGTCTACGCGTTTGCGATCGTCGCCTCGCAAGTGATGACGCGGCGCAGTGCTTTTGATATTGAGAACCGAGCCGAGAGCGCTGAGGGTATGTTGTTTTTCCAACTATCATAACTTAATGCCTCCTTAGAAATCGTGTACGCCGTGAAGAAGGGGTTGAATCCGGCGATGAGGCCGAAAATTGATTTGCCCGCCGAGGTGGATATGAGTCCGGCTATGGTAGGTTGTAAAAACAGGAAAAAAGGCTTGAAAAACGTATTAAATTTGTGTAATCGAACTAGTAACTTCCAGATTCATCTAATTCGTGACTGTTGGTCGGAATCACCGGAGGATCGACCTTCGATTGAGACGACGGAGAGCCTTGTAAAAGCTATGGTAAAGTAATTTTGCTATATTTTTCGTATGAAAGACGTGAACAACAAAAGTAATGCTTTTATGTCGAGCACTTACATTTTAGAACATTGGCAAAAACCAAAACCTGATGGACCACGTCTTCCAAATGATGGAATCTTACGCGGAAACCCTCGAAAAAGAAGTCGAAGACAGGACGAAACAGTTGAGCGAGGAAAAGAAGAAGAGTGACCTCCTTTTGAATCGAATGCTGCCAAAGTTAGTGACTTCACCAAACTATTACAGCGTCTTCAGGCAAGTCGCGGAAAAGCTGAAGCTCGGCCAGTCTGTTGAACCCGAAAGCTACGAGATGGTGACGATATTCTTCTGCGACGTCGTCAAGTTTACGGTTTTGGCGGCGAAATGTACGCCGTTGCAGGTAGGGCCCGGAAGAAACAGTATAACAAAGAGCTATTTAGATTGTAAACATGCTCAACGAGCTGTACTCCACGTTCGACCAGGTGGTGGAGAATAATTCTGTTTACAAGGTAATTAGATGTCATTGATTTTCATATAGCGTTTTAGGTGGAAACCATCGGCGACGCGTACCTCTGCGTATCCGGGCTGCCAGTCCGGAACGGGCTTCTGCACGTCAAATGCATAGCCGATATGTCGCTCGACTTTTTGGAGACTGTTAAGGTATAATCAGGCGATCAAAGCGCTGTTTTAAATTATGAAAATGTAGGCCATGCGAAAATCGCAGTGTTTTGCAAAGTTTCTCAGCAGCAATTTTCAATTTTCCTAACTTTTTTTTGGAGCGTAATGAGTTTTGTGATCGGAATTTAGCGGGAGAAAGTGACTAATTTTAGTGCAATATGTAACGTGCACTGCAAACTATAGAAAATTTGCCAAATTAGAAAGTATAATTCTTCTTCCCCTTTCTCTGGAACTGTGTTTTCATTGTGAAGTACAGAAACTATGTTTTCCTTCGTTTCCCAGGAGATTCAAACTTTTTAGGGCTTCCGCATCGGTCACATGCCGCAGGAACGGATGCAGCTGCGAATCGGAATGCATTCCGGGCCGTGTGTGGCGGGGGTTGTCGGGTTGACGATGCCAAGGTTGGCGCAAAAGGTTGAAAAAATGGTTCTGTTTAGGTATTGCCTCTTCGGCGACACGGTCAATACGGCTTCTCGGATGGAAAGTAATGGAAAACGTATGTCTGGTTTATCGTGTGTCTAACCAAAAGCTTTAGCCAGCCACATCCACGTCTCGGCCGATGCTCATGCTCTGCTCTCCCAATTTCCAGGATATGAAATGGAAGCGCGTGGCGAAGTTATAATCAAGGTATCTTTACTTCTAGGATGTAGTAAATCCGATTTTGGACCCCGGAAAAAGGTGCTGGTTCGTTAGCGGGGGGCTTCTTTTATTCAGACTAACCTTAAGAATACTACCATATAGGCTATTTTTAGAACATTTTTAGTCGTTTCACTTACTAAAAAGTTCCAATTTTATACCAAATTTTAAGTTGTAAAAATGACGAACTTTTTATATCGAAAGGAGGTGTAAAATGCTATTAAAATAATTTCTATTTCACCCCTCCCCCCGCTAATAAACCAGCACCAAAAAAAACTGATATCTGTTTCAGGGCAAGGGCATCATGGAAACGTACTGGCTGCTCGGGAAGCACGACTAATTCAGGAACTACCTATTTCGCACTTTAGTATTTCGATTTTGTATTTTTAAAGTGATCTCGTTGATCTGCAAAATAAAGTATCTATTCGTAGACGTGCACGGACACCTGAAGATGAACCAGAAAGTGTTCAGCCATCCAAAGTTGTCCAAAAAACGCTCCCACGCCACGCCGGGAAACCAATCAGGGGGTAATTTGCGCGGCGCCGGCTATGAACGCCCCACGGCAGCCGCTCATTTTGCATGAATTTCTACCCGAAGGTCCCCAAGTTTTGTCCGAGGTTTGGTTTTTTGAACGTTTTCAGGGATTGCGAGTAGTTTTTAGAGTGGGCGATGTGACATATCTCATTCGATAGCGCTTCAGATCTGAACAAATCTTTTCGAAAATGCTGAACGATTACGGTCTTCGAGGAACAGTTTACCTAGGTCGGCCCTTTTAGAGCAAATTTTCTCCAAGTTCTTTCTTAAATTGTCTTTCTTTTCTCCTTTCTCCAACGTGGTCGTTCAGCAATTTTCGAAAGATAGAGTTTGTCCTGAATCTTAAGCTCTATCGAATGAGCTATTCCACATCGCAAAACTCTTTTCTTTCTAAACCTTTTCTCCTATTTTTAGATTTCCACTAGCGACTACCCAAGGTGCCCCGCATGGTGTTCTGCAAATAAGATGCTCGAGGTGCGGAGCCACTGGCCCAAAAGAGGGGAAAAGCGCGAATTTTCGGAAGAAGTCGGTGGCGAGTGTCGCTTCTGAAGATGTGAAGGATGACGAGATCACATTGGAGCTGGAGATTGATGGTGAGCATGCAACGGCTAACTAAAATGCAGATGCCTAAACCCAGGCAAGCCTCACCCACTGTATCTTGGCTCCCTATTGTCCTACAGGCATTTCAAGTATACCAAAATATCCGCCAGATCAAGGCGAACATTTTGGTTGACTTGGCTGAGCTTCGGCTGGGCAGGGACGGCGTATCTGCAAAGCAAATTTACGATTCTAAAGGCTTCCTGTCCCTAGTTGCGGCAAAACAATTAATTTATTATTGTTGCGCCCTCCGGTTCCATCCTAAAAATAAAAATGGCGCAATAATAAAATCTACGAACTGGGCCGTTGGAGATAAAAAAATAAGGGCTGGATTAATTTTTTTTGTTCAGTGTTATTCCACAACCGAATTATGGCTTTTCCTACAAAAAATTTGCTGCCGCACGATAACATCTTCTTCCGCATGACTCAGTTTTGAAGCGCCAAAAAATCTTGCTGCGGATTGTTGACTGACGTGAAGACTTATAAAACCCAAATTTTCCGAGACAGCTGATTCGATTACCCCCGCAATTTGTAAATTACCCCGAACCAGCTGCGGGGTCTCGTGTCTATTCGGTTCTATTGAGCTGGGAAAACAGCTCACCTCCACCTGGACTTTCAATTCATGAGATTCCCTCGCTTTCGCTCTCTCTCTCTCTCTCTCTCTCTCTCTCTCTCTCTCTCTCTCTCTCTCTCTCTCTCTCTCTCTTTAGCTCCCTGGCTCTTACCTCTCTCGCCGAAAAACCTGTTTCCAATTGCCCTTGGCTGGTGTCTGCGGGGCGCCTATTGTATGCCCGGGGAACACTGGGAATTTTTATTCCCTTGCGCTCCTCTCGACATGTGCGGTATTTTGGGTGCCACAACGCCTGGAAATTGGGTGTTTTGTCATTCACATCGGATTCTATGCCTCATACCGGGCGATTTCGGATTTGAAAATAGACTGTAGTGGTCACTATAAATTTAAAATTTTAGGTTCTGGCTTATTAGCGGGTGGGGGTTTCGTTTATTCAACAGTTCCTTTATGGCAATTTTTTATAGCGTTTTATAGCGTTATTTTTCAAACACGGAAAGTCATGAAAAATTCTTTAAAAGGTGGCAATCTTGCCGTTTTTGGGAGCATTTTTCAGAAATTTTTTTACCCAAGATTCAAAATGTTTCTAAGATTTTAATAAATTTTGAGAACTTTTTGTATCTAAAAAGACTTGACCACGTGCTATTAAAATATTTTACATTTCGTTTTTGGTATTTTTGGAGCCGAATGCCACAACTGCCCACGAGATTTAAACCAATTTGGCTTCTCTGTACCTTTAGCGCGGGCAACGAACCAAAATTACTTTTTTTTTTAATCCTCCAAAATACTATTTACACTCGAGAATTCACCTGCCGCTATTCCTCCACTCTCTATTGCGGGTCCCACGAAAATTGCGCTGCCAGTAGTGTTGGTTTTTTACCGGTACCGAAACCCAGTACCGGTACCGAACCCCCCCTGGGTACCGCGGTACTCGGCGGGTACCGGTACCGAACATCGGTACCGGGGAGCGGTACCGGTACCAAGTGAGTACCGATGGCATCGGTACTTTTCCGGTACCGGTACCAAGTGGGTACCGAGAGGGTCGGTACTTTTTCGGTACCGGTACCAAGTGGGTACCGAGAGGGTCGGTACTTTTTCGGTACCGGTACCAAGTGAGTACCGACGGCTTCGGTACTTTTCCGGTACCGGTACCAAACCGACCGGTAACGGTACTGCGGGTCGGTACTGGCGGGGTCACAGGGGCCGCCTTGCTTCAGGGCAGTGGGCCAGACGCGTGGCGTGTCGCCGCTGCGTACCTTTTTTTACAAAAATAAATCATATTCCTGCATTTATTTATACTGGGGTTTGTATTGCTATCTGTTCTAAAGAAATTCTGCTCTTGCCTTCGATATATAGGCTTTAATTCGATAAGAAATACCGGCGGGCCCTTGCCTGTCACCGCGGCGACACGCCACGCGTCTGGCCCACTGCCAGGAACCAAGGCGGCCCCCTGTGACCCCGCCAGTACCGACCCGTAGTACCGTTACCGGTCGGTTTGGTACCGGTACCGGAAAAAGTACCGATCGGTCGGTACTCACTTGGTACCGGTACCGAAAAAGTACCGACCCTCTCGGTACCCACTTGGTACCGGTACCGGAAAAGTACCGAGCCGGCGGTACCCGCCGAGTACCGGTACCGAAAAAGTACCGACCCTCTCGGTACCCACTTGGTACCGGTACCGGAGGTCCGGTACCGGTAAAAATGGCGTCGGTAAAAAATGGCTGTCGGTACCGGTACTGGGTTTCGGTACCGGTAAAAAACCAACACTAGCTGCCAGCTGCCGTGGACCCCCCAAAATATGGGCTATACAAATAAGGGGGGAATGTTTTCCACCCAAACCCACACAGCGCCTTTTTACGCCCGAATGCGCACTCGATACTCCCTACACTGTATTTGCTACCGTTCCGCTACACTCCAAATAACGGTGTGATTTGAAATTTGCCGAAATCAAAAGGAAATCTGATTTGTTCATTTGTATTCAATTTTTTTTCTACAAACAGTGGAAAAATTTGTAAGTTTAGTATTTCTAAAGACCAACACCTTGAAAATTTTAGAATACAACCTTTCGATCAAAATCGGTGCCTCTTTCGAACAAACTTGCGAATTTGCTAATTTTTTTGAAGGTTTTAGAGAATTTTTCCATTGGAAATTTAGTTAAATTTTACTAAGATAACTTTTAAAAGCTTACAGTTATTACGTTACTAGGTATTTCTGGAATCGGGGATCTCCCCCCGATAATGCGAAAGAACCGCAAATCCCTTGACCGTCTAGCCAACCAAACATTCAAATATTGCAACTAATTTTTGCGAGACTATTGGCCCAATTTCCCCCGGGGGACCTCCGCCGCACTGAAATTTTAGAAATGCCCCCGAATGCGTCAATGGTCGGGCCAGCTCGGGCCGCTATTTGCCTATTTTGGAAATTGCCATTGGTTGTGCGGGGGGACATCGGAAAGGCTACGAATTTTTGCGGGTCCCAACGGACGTTTTTGCAATAGCAAACGCTCGGCGAACAAAGTTCCCTCGGTGGTTCCCAATAATTTCCGGCATTTGCATTGGGGAATCTGGGGCGTGGGAATTTTGCTAGAATTTAGTTCATTTTTCTGATGTTTGCTACTCTTGGAAATTATAGAATTTTGTTAACTTAGCGATCAAGGAGTTTCAAGCTTGAGAATGAATCAACTATAATAAAAAGGTAGGGGTGTCTGTCCGTCTGTCCGGTCCCGAATTCAACTCGAAGGGGGAAAGAGCTAGCGCTTAGGTCTCTTCGGATTCGGATAGAGCGTGGTCAGAAACCCCTAAACTGATAAAAAAATTACGAAAAAGTTTTTGTTTAAATTATTAAAATTTACTTTGAAATTTTTCCTTAGTAAAAGGGGTGGGGGACGGAGGTTGGGGTGATTTTGAAGATAGTGAGCCAGGTCGCGCGCGTTTCGTGGATGAAAATTTTCACGGGGGATTTCATTTCTTTTTTTCTCTCATTCCATCCGGTCGGTCGTTATTTTCGTTTTTAAAAGGATTTCGGCTAGGGGAGATCTTAAACCATCGGGAAAGTATTTAGGTAGTTGTTGAAGGGGATTTCAGCCATGGGGGTATCTGAAGCCATCAGGAAGGTATTTAGGTAGTTTTTGAACGGGATTTCCGCTATCGGGGGTATTGATGGAGGTGGGAACGGATGTGGTGGAGTGGGGCATGTGGGGTAGCCCGAAGGCCAGATGGTTGCAGTCGCGAAGCGGCTGTAACCATCTGGTTTTGCTATAATTTACTTAATTTTTCGAGTTTCGTTTTCTATTCCCAAAAGCATCACTTCTTTTGAGCTTAATTTACTTTCAAGATAAGTCAGTCGGCGGCTATCCTACTATATATAAAAAAATAGTGTTTGTGTGTGTGTGTGTGCCACTTTGCATCCACTTCCGTCTGTCTGTCCGGAGGATATCTCAAGAAGGGACGGGTATTAGCCTACGTATGATACGTCATTAGGTGCGTAATGGTCTAGGGATTACTGCACATATATCAGATTTTCAAAAATTAGCCATTTTCGCTATTAAATTTAGGGTTTTGTAAACACCTCTTTGTTAGGGATAATTAGCATAGACCGGAAGTGGGTGGTCGCCTATATAAAGAGGCAGAAAGGGTTGT